TGTTAAAGTAGAATGGCACCTCTTGTGCCTGTTCCCCTTTCTTATGCTCCTTCCTTTTATTTAAAGTGTAGCCTTTAAATTATTTAAAATGTTTCCAACATTCAGCCATTGAGTGGAAGCCAGCTGTGGCTGTGTGTCGTCAAGCTTTCTTGTTCTTTCTATAAAAGGGGCACTTTTACACATAAAGAAATGTACTCGTCCTGCTGAGAAGAAAGGTGTGTAATGTGCACAGAGATGGGAAAAGTATCTTTTTTTAAATTTTTAACAGAAAGCTTGGGTTACAAATTTGAGTAGAGGGTTTGAATGAAGTGGGTGTTTACCATACAGGGATTGTTTAATGAAAGATACTCCTGAGTTGCATTATGGGAAATGTAGTATCTAGTGTTATTGTATCTTGACCTGTAGCTGGGGACAAAAGCCAGGATCTACTGCTTCAATTTTGATATTATTCTCTTTTAAGTCCACAAACTTTATGAGTTTCGCTTTCTTTCTTTCGGTATCTGTACTTGATCTGTGCATTGTGATATTTTTCTTTGCCAATACCAGTGTTTGTTTAATAACTTTTTTTTTGATACATTATTTATTTATTTTTTGCTCCAGTTACCTAGAAACATTCTTAAACTATGTATAGTGACGCGGTTGAGGTGACTTCATGGTGTGTAACCAGTTATTCGGCAGTCTTTGTGCATTATCTAAACATCCCACAAGTGAAACTCATTGAGGGGTGTAGAGTATCTTGTCTTAAGCAACCTCATTGTAAGAGCCACACCATATGACCCTTGCGTTTGCATTACAACACCAGTGCAGAGGATGTTATTGTCATTGAAAAGTGTGGGAGATGAGCTAAGTGCTCCACCCAGACAGTGTCATTGATACAAGTGTAAAGAGATACCAACAGGTGGCCTCTGTCACAGAGAGCCAGCAGACACACAGCACGCTCACTTTTACTTCTCTTCTATGGAAATGACAGCAGTAAAACGTCACATAGGGTGAGTTGGTACATTCTTTTATTTTTTACAATTATTGAAACATTCTGTATTTGATCCTCGTCTACCTATGTTATAGCTAATGCTGCCATGGGGAAACAACCAGAATGGATTTCTTGTCTCCCATTCTACAATGAATATAGTTTTGTAGTTGGTACTCCCAGGACATAAGTCTTAATGTTTGGGCACCTTTCATGAGCAACAATGCTTTATCATAAAGAAACAGATAACCCTAAATAATTCTTACGTAAATATGTATCATTGGTTAAATACTTACATCATGGTAACATAACTTGCATCCCTCCTACTGCAGTAATATCTCTGGCATCACATTTCATGTTTCCACGAGGTAACTTTCTCACAGTCTCTGCAGAGCCGAGGCTGAGGCACGAGGGAGGGCGTAAGCGGCAGCAACAGTTGTTCATTGGGTGATTTGTCACAGCTTTTAAGAATTCCAATTGGGAGGTTTGAGCCACGGCGCCTGTCCGTCTAAAAGTCGCCGTTCTGCATCTTGTGACAGCAGTCAACACAGTTTTGTCCTTAATCAGAGCTGCGTGATTAATGTGTTAATGTTTTCTGAGTACTCCTAATTGAATTTGTATCAGAGCATGCATGGAAATGTAATCTGTGAGCATGGAAGCACAGTATTTGGCAGGTTTGTGTGCTTTTGCCGTACAGTCTGGATCTAATGACAGCCTTCCACTGTGTTTTACTGTATGCCTAAATTGTGCTAAAGCACAGAACACATACTGGTTTAAATCTTAGTGTACAATCACCTCAACTCATTCAGTTCACTGTGAGTCCTCTAAGGATCCCTGTGATAACCAAAACCTGTGTTCCTCCTTTACCTCTAACTTTGCCTACAAAGAGTTAAAACAGTAAATGTGAATCAGGCAGGAAAAAGTGATCCAGTCTTGCTTCTTTGCACTGGAGGATTATTTATTCCTCTATGCTGACTTGTGGGAACTGAAATATTCCTCTTCAGGCTGCCAGCTGAACAGTTAGGGAGGAGGCTTGCCGAGGGAGAGGGAGACGTGTGTCTTGTCATGCTGGCATAATCATAGTGGCTGCTGGAGAGACGAACAAGGCCTCTGCCACAGTGTATTATTTGATTGAGCTGCAGATGATAGTCCGTGCTGCCTGGCTGTTGCACAGTGTGTAATTAAAAGCTTTCTATTGTGTTCCTCAGGTTCTCTGACAGAGGGCCTGGTGACTGTAAAGTGAGAGAAAAGCCTGTGGAGTTCGAGCATTTCTCAGCGCCACCCCCTCCGCCCATGACAGGAACCAACCCTGACTGCAGACACAGAGCTGCCTCTGCCACCGTGAACCACAGACCCACATCAATCTCTCATAGTCTCACAGAGTCTGCCCTCCCTCAGGCTGAGGACCACGGAGCGAGGAGGAAGCCCTCTGCACTGGAGAAGCATCCCCCACCCAGATGCCCGGAGGTCGACTCCCACGAGCCCTTCACCGGTTCCCAGAGTGAAATCTTCACCCACTGCTCCCCGAACGCTGACCCTAGCTCCGCCTTTGTCCCCACCCACGCTGCAAAGGGAGATTCTGAGCAGGGCAAAGGACTTGTGGACAAAGGACAAGGGGCAGTACATCATCTATCAACATCCAATCCTCAGCCTGCCTCCTCTCTCCCAGCTTCCTCCCACAGACCTTCAGGGCTGGCTACTATGGAGGGGCAGCGCTCTCCATCTCCACAGTTTTCTCCACAGAGACTCAGTGACAAGCCCCCAGTCTCTCTACAGGATGAACACTCAAGCAGGTAAACTTTTTTGAGAGACTCAAAATGTGCATAGTATTGCTGCAGCTGTTAAACTACCGGCCAGTTTAGTCAGAACGCAGTGACTGCAACTCCTCTACCCGTCGTGTCTTCATGCTTCTTGTACAAAGGAGCTTATTGAGTCACTGCGTCTGTAGAATCAACATGTGAGTGCTATCAAGCCGCAGTAAATTAGAGGGATTCTCCACATTTCTATAAAAGCCACTGGCGGTCTAGGCATAATTGAGCAAAATGCAGAAAATGTCAAACGTAGTCTAAATGCTCCTACTGTGAAGCTGTTTATTCATCCTCTTGATCCAGAACTAATTGGTATCATCTGTAGTGAACTGTACAGTAGGATTATTACAGCTAGCAGAAACCAAAGTGGTGGGAGGAGTCCAGATGTCTTGGATATTCCAGCGTACTCACCATGGAAAAAAATCTCAGTTGCCATCATGCAATGAAACTTAAAATCAGCGTATGGCTGGAATAACTGCAGCAAGAGGCTTTCTCCTCCTTTCAGAAACTCTTGGAGCTGCAATTTGTAAGATTGTTTCTCTCTTTCTGATTTTTCAGGATGGAGCATGTGATAGAAAACCAAACATCTGCAGGGAAGAAAGTGCCCATCAGGATTGTCCACTCAGAGGGAGTCACAGAGAAGGAGAATTGTCCATTTTTGCAGCACAGTGACCCCCCTGCTGTTGAGGCTGAGGGTCTTGGTGTAACCAGGCTCGGCAGTCTGGGAGCTGCAGGTCAGGACTCGGTCTTCTGTGCCTTCACTCGGCAGAGGGAGCCCGACAGTACGCCGGGCGCTCAGACGGACCCAAAGCCCCAGACAGACACATACATGAGTACTGTTAGAGATCACATCAACTCTAACAGTCAGCAGCCGCCGCAAACCACAGACGAGCCCAGCAGCACCAGGGCGACAGTAACCACAGGACTGTATGAGGATCAGAAGAGGGAGGAGCTGGCCAGGGACATCATGGGGAAGGATAAATCACTAGCTGATATTTTGGACCAGAGCAAGATGAAGACCACCATGGACTTGATGGAGGGCATCTTCCCACAGGGGGAGCAGCTGTTGGAAGGAGCTCACCAGCGCAGGAAGGTGCCCCCGAAACAGAGCCGGCCTGCTGAGGAAAGGTCAGCTTGCACTCTAGCTTCCATACTGGGCCTGACAAATGTGTTTCCTGCATGCAGCAAAGTGCATTATTCAAGACACCCGCTTACTTTTCTGACCTGTAGAGTGTTTAATTACTCTCACAATATGCAGTTAGATATGTACAACTCTGACATGTACAATATGCCTGAACATTAGCTCTGTCACCTGTGTGTATACGACTAATTAATATACATGACTTATTTTAATATTATTTACTTATTTATATTTTAAGGGGCGTACGCCTGTACCAGTACAAGTCTTGATTCAGTCTGCACAGTCTTTATAAAATTGCTTGTTTCAACTAGATGACTACCAGCTGTTTATGAGTAGGTGCTCTATAGGGCTATCTGTTCTTCCCTGTGTGGAAAAGTCTTATTCACAACAATGTTACCAAAGAGTAAAAAGAAGAATTTTACAGCAGCAGCACCACAACGTGTGAAAAATACAGAGAATCGTTTGGCACGAAAAAAGGTCTTACTGAAGAAAAGTGGTTTTATGACAGTTAGTATGACGTGGATGAGGGGATATCCTACAATAGGTGGTCTTAGACCTGTGATACCCAACCAGGAGTCCCTGTGCCACAGGACAGGGGTTCCCAGACTTTTTCATGCCATGGACCCACAATAGACCACAGACCGCAGTCTGGGAGTACTTTGTCTAAAGGAACCTCTCTTAGTGTTTAAAATCAGCTCTGTTCATGATTCTTTGAACCTTGGTGCTGTCTATCAACCCAGCAGCGTTTCCACCAGCTTCGATCGGAACCGCTGTAATCATCTGTCTCATGAACAGAGGACGTTGCAGTTTTTTCCAGCTGGAAACTAACTTTTTAACCAATTTCTTTTTGTTCGGTTGACTGTTGGTGGAAAAGGCCTATCTGAGTAATAGGTTCTAAGATTATGAAGTCTTTATAGTCTATCATTAATCACACTGGGATGGCTATTTCCCCCCTTGTTCCAGCTTCTTAAAAATGTGATTAAAAGCTAAGATGTTGTATTCCTATGGACCCCCTCAAGTATCCCCGGACCCCAGTCTGAAAACCACTGCCCCAGGGGAAACTTCTGAAGTTGTGAGGGTCCATGGAGAGATTGTAGAGAAGCTCAACATATATGAAAATTAGAAATTAAGATTTGATTAAAATATATGGACAAACAGGCAAAACCCTTAGCTAAAAGTTACAGATAAACACTTGAAATGGTTAGCTTAAAGTAAAGCTTAAATGGTTCCAGTATTCTTATTTGGTTTGGTAATGTGAGAACTATGTGACAGTATGTGTTACTTATATTTCAGGGAAAAGGAGGACAGTATGGCAACAGCTGTCGCCATGGTGACCAGCTCTACATATTACAGCACATCTGCTCCAAAGGCTGAGCTCCTTATTAAGATGAAGGACATGCAGGAACAGGAGGAGGAGGAAGACTCTGAAGACGAACTGGACATTGATCTGGCAAACAAGAAGGTACGATACACTCACTGAACCCATTCATAAAATGAAGCATAAAGACTGGTTTAAAACTCCTACCGCCACCTTTTGCACTATTTATATTTAATTTCCACTTTAGTAGTTTAGTAGTTTTAGTTTTTTAGTTTTAGTCAAGCTTAATTTTCTGCTCATATTTTGGACTACTTGAACAACAAATAGTGTATATACTTTAATTTATAATAATTCTATAATTTATAATTTAATTCATAGTTTTTATATCTTCTAATATTAATAATATTATCAATATTTTACTGTGATATTCTTTGTTTTGTGTTTTTTGCGCTGCTTCGTCCCTATTTGCTGCTGATGTCAAAATGAATTTCTCCTTAGGGGGATAAATAAGGGAATTATCTTATCTTATCATATTTAGAGTTCATATGATGACAGAAGCTTGACTTTGTGCTTATGAGAGTACCCAGAAAGCCCGGGGACGAGGTTAAAGGCCTGTTTAATGAGTTTGTATCTTCTGTTTTTACAGCAAGAGCTGATCGACAGCCTCAGCAAGAAGCTTCAGGTGTTGCGGGAAGCCCGGGAGAGTCTTCAGGAGGACATCCTTGACAACAACGCTCTGGGAGACGAGGTGGAGGTCCAAGTCCAGCAGGTCTGCAAACCCAACGAGCTGGACAAGTTCAGGATGTTTGTCGGGGACCTGGACAAGGTGGTGAGCCTGCTGCTATCCCTGTCGGGCCGTCTGGCCAGAGTGGAGAACGCCCTCAACAGTCTGGAGGAGGATGCTACTGCTGAGGAGCGGGTGAGTAAATGTAGTTTGTTTCCTCCCACCAACACAGAAAGCTTTGTGTATCTTCTCAAATTCTAATCTGTTTCTTTCATCTACAGCGCACGTTGATTGAGAAGAGGAAGCTGTTGATCCGACAGCACGAGGATGCGAAGGAGCTGAAGGAGAACCTGGACCGTCGGGAGCGTGTGGTTTATGACATCCTGGGCAACTACCTGCAGGAGGACACCCTGACAGACTACGAGCACTTTGTCAAAATGAAGTCAGCGCTCATCATCGAGCAGCGCAAGCTTGAGGACAAAATCAAACTGGGAGAGGAGCAGCTCAAGTGTCTGATGGACAGTCTGCCGATAGAGCAGAGGCTGGCCTTTTGAAGGTGTTGGACACCCATGAACTCTGACGACTAAGACTAGGTATGTTGCTCCGAGTTGCAGTTGAGCCTCGTGTCCAGCAGAAGGAGACAGAGGATCCGGCAAAGACAAACTGCCTGTTCTGACATTTTTTCAATTCTGTGGTGAAGGCTCATTCGAGCACGTCTTACTACTTTACACCCTGGACTGCCGTAGCGCCTCCTGGACTGACAGCATCCGAAAGGAACTCCCTTGTTAAAGATGCTGCTTTTCCTGGTACCAACCAACCACTGTATCCGATGTCTTTCATGCCATTTTTGCTTTGTTTTTTTTTTTTTATTGTTTTTTTGTTTTTTTGTTAGTAATTTATTGTAGCCTTTTGAATCTGCACAGGAGGGGACAGTATTTTATCTTCAACTGATCTGAGCAGTCACGCTACCTGATGTGTTGAGCAACTAGGAGTATTTATCATGTTTTATGTTTCAATAATTTCACACTCTGAAAGCGTTTTCACATGATCCATAAAATCTGGCCCAACATTTCAATAAACATAAAGGTTTTTGTTAACATTTATATATAAACTAGTGGCCTTTTTACTAAGATTTTTGTGCCCTCGCTTTCCTCCCTCAAGAAGCTTTTCTTCTGCAGTAAACGGAAGGTAAAGATGGTGGGATGTTAGCGAATGTACCTGTGAAGAGAAAGTGTGCAGATACTGGTCATTTTTTAAAGAGCACTTGTTCAACTTCACTAAACAGAGGAACAGTAGCACTTCACATTCAGACTTTAACTCAAGTGAAATCTACATTTGAAGTGCCTGGGGAGTCACACCCACCCATGTCACTGCGAACACTGTCTTTTACTCCACGTCTGCATGTTTTGTCCCATCAGCGCTGCTCTGTTTTATTCACAGGAAAAAAAAACTTGTTTAGATTATGATATTGCCACTTATAAGTTGACCAAGTGTTTCTGTATTTTGTCTTATTGCTTCACTGTGTTTTGTTATTCACGGTGCAGATGTTGAATGCATAGTTACCACAGTTGTTACTTGACTTCAAGTGAAATTTCATCACTAAAAATTGTTGTTTAGGTTGATCATTTTGCAACCAAATATCAAATTAAATCATTGCAAAGCATTCTGACCAGCTTGAACGTCAGTCTATCAAATGTTTGAATATCAGACTGTACGGATTGAATCAGCCTCCCGAAGGTGAACCCTGTCGGAGGATGTTTGTTCTGCACATTTGAGAATATTAGTTTCACACGCTTTATGCACTGCTACAGCCTGACTCTTAACACTTTATCAGCTGTGCTCCTTTATATCAAATAAAGAGTCTGCTGGAATCACGCAGTGGTGTTTGATTGATTTCTGTTCAGTGATCAGCTCATTGTTCAGTCATTCATTAACTTCACCCCACCCTCCTCGCCGCTGATTATGTGGAAGCTAAAGACTTTGACATGACGAGGGATATCTTTAACAGTCAGGTGTGACAGGATTCCTCTCACATAACCAAAGCAAAATGTGGACTATCTCTCGCTCGCCTGTGGTAGATACAGCATCTGTGGTGGAAGGATACAGTGTATAGTGAGGACAAGAAATTGGAACTTGAAACACATCAAGGTGAGCAAAAGGACAAGACGTTAACAGAGGGTTGTTTTATTTTACTGCATAAGCTGCGAGGATTTAAATAGACAATCATTAACTGCAGTAATGTTAAATGGCTGCGCTTTTTATTCTCATTCTCTACACGATCAATCAACATTTGAATTTTAATCTTGGATGGTATTGATGTATATTCCAGAACTTGCAACGGTAATATCTTTTTCCTCAACATATTTTATTTGTTGATGTTAAACTCTTTGTTTATATCCTTAATTTAACTTAGAAAGAGCTTGGATATTCAGATCACTCAGTCTATACTGTCTTACTACCTTGTGCCAAAAGAAACCTGGGACAGAAAATAACCCTTAAGGTGCTTGCAGCTGGCAAATACTGCTGGAAAAACTACAGGGTTTAGTGTTTGTAGTCCAAGTTCTACTTCTATGGTAATAAATCTCATGTATGCTTGCATAACTACATGAACAAAGCAGTCAACCCCCCAGGAGCCCCAAAAAGCATTCGGTTTGGTAATTTGATTAATTAAGCTTTTCAACCACTAAAGTTAACGAAGGTGAGTTCTGAATTATTACTTCCTCTTGTGACCCAACTGTAGACAATCGATGAGAAGCTCAAGTAGAGAGAGAGAGTTAATTGCATTAGTTTACAGTATGCTCACATGATTCATATTACCAAATAAAGTTAATAAAAAATAATAAAAAATCAAATGGCTTCAACCTTTATGGAGTTAGACATGCTGGTTGTTTTTTGGGCCTTGTGTGGGGGTCTTTGGGGGCCCTCATGTTAATCCAGCCTAACCCGTATGTTTTCATGAGTCACATTTCCAGACAATATCTGCATTTCATTTCTGTATTTTCTCTAACTGCTAAATATACCTTAAACACACAGTAGGTCATTTCTTCCACGAGGGGTCTCTCATATAAAAACAATAACAATAGACGTAGTTTGAGGACATTGTGAAGCAGTGTCGGATCATAGCAGTTGGCAACATTGTTGATGGAAATCTATCCTGATTTCAGGCACAAATCATGTTCACAGACAAAGTAACATAATAGTTTAATTCAAGTTATGTTTATTTACGATCACCGACTCCCTTCCTCACTCTCATGTATCCGGTTCCCCCGGTGTAAAGGACCATTCACCAAATTAAACGCACCCTTACCTTGAATAAAACTACAGATTTCTCTCAGTTTGAACACAGCTGGAAGAATTTGGGATAATGAAAGTGCACAACTAAAAATGCCTAGTCTTTTTTAGACATTTCAATACAGTGTGACATGCTGTAACATAACATACATACATACACCTTTAAAGGATCAGTTCAACCATTTTTCATTGGCACTATTTCTTTAGGAGAACGTAGCTCCAATGAAAACGGTGAGGTCCTGGGAGTTATTAATCATGATTGTGGAAAGTTACCAACCAGCAGTGAAGTGTGGCTGTTGGGTGCTATGAAAACTGTGCGTGTTATACCTGTAATATAAACTAAGGCTAAACTAAACCAAACAAAACCAAGTGGACATCCTGAAAGGACCTGGCTTTGGTGGGAGGGGCCAGACAATCAGAGGAGACCTGTAAGAGGAAAACAGAGGCAGAACAAATTGTCTTTTTTTCTTTCATCTTCACCACCACTATTAAGCTGGAGATAAAATGTCTGTATCTAAAAAAGTAATAATTATCTAAGTGGCTAGATACAGCTAAAGGTTAGTGGATAAATGAGAATGTGTTTCTTTTCCCATTTAGGCGAACTGACCCTTTAAAGGTTATTTCTGATTTCTGTAGAGTACCTTTGGCTCCAGGCACCATAAGACACCATGGACATATTGGAGTATGCAGCTATCCTGTCATATTCCATGTTTCTCATAATTCCTACAGTGAATTTTGAACAGTATTGTGTTTTCAAGAACCCACGAACGTGTGAAAATAATACCAGAATATGAATGAATTAATGTGGATATACGTAGCAAACCACTAAGAACTCTGAGTTTAAGCCGTTTTACCACAGCTGTGGATATTTGTGTGTTCAGCAGGTGTGATGGAGGTCGGGCACACTGTGTGAACAATGTGTGAGTCAGCGATCCGTCTCTTTGAGCATTAGCAGTCACACTGGGCAGGATGATCTACCTGGCTCACACAGCTCACTGGCAGTTCGTGGGCCTGATATCTGGCTTACTGGCGTGGATCCTCATCGTGACCACAGTCGGCCTCAACGAGTGGCGGCTGTGGCACGTGGCCGATGTGTCTGTCATCAGCTCGGGTGTGGCCTGGGTGGGTATCTGGAGGGCCTGTTTTTACAGCCACGCCCTTCCCAAAACAGAGAACTGTCGGAGCATCGGCATCTCGGACCACTTTGCTCCTGCAGAGATCCCAGCCGCTCAGGTGCTGATGGTGCTGGCAATGATCTTCGGCCTGGCGGGAACCATCAGTGCTGCAGTGGCCATGAGGATGGTCTACTTCTCTGTGGAGGATCGCAGGCACATACGGCTGGTGTTTGTGCTGGCAGGGACCCTGTATGTGCTGACGGGGATTTTCTGCTTGGTGCCACTGGTGTGGAACATGAGCTCTGTGCTGAACAACAGCACCATAGACTTTCCTCCCGAGTTCTACCTCCCCTCAGCTCCTGTCAGGCAGCAAGTGGGCTCCGCCATTGGAGTGGGCATGTTCGCCTCCATAATGATGCTCATAAGTGGGTTGCTGTTCCTTTGTTACCGCTTTGCCTGGCAGGCCCTGAGCTCAGAGGCCCCCAGAGACACCAGACATGGTCCCTGGACAGAAACCACCCTGGCACAGAAGTCTGAGTTGCCAAATGGAGACAACCGTGGCAGGGATAATTCTGCATTTCACAGTGAAGAACAGTTTACTAATGTACAATCTTAGATTTTCATGTTTTTCATCCATCGAAAAAGTAACTTGGACAATGTCAGGGAAGATTTTCACATTTAAAACTGAGAGCTGCTAAATAAAATCAGTATGAGTTTAGCCTATATGCTGGAGCATTTGCCATGTTATATGAGCAAGAATGCTGTGCAATACACATTAGTCCAGGATCAAAATACTGCATCATCCACAATAAGTCATTGTCAATTCCTTGTCACAGGACCATCATGTTAAACAGATTCAACTACTTCTATTTTTTATTAGAGTGTTGTTCTTATTAAAGAAGCACTGACAATGTGGCATTTAAATGTCTGCATCTCCTCTGTTGTAGACCATGTAGAAGAGTTCAAAAATGTACATCTAGCACAATTAATCATACTGATTTACATTTAGCAATATGTAGCTCTGTATCTAGCTGGTAAAGTACATTTTCTGGCCACCTGGGGGCAGCAGATAGAAAACAACACTTTCAAATTATCACTTTGTAACTTATAACTAAATAAAAACTAACTCATTAGCAAACATTTGTCCATTAACAACTCCAGCAGAGTTGTATTTCTGTTCACAGGATCAATCTATTGTATTGATTATTCAATATTAACTGTAGCTCTTTAGCTGCTAAACGCTCCACTATGTTTACTTGTTGCTGTCGTCTGCCTGCCATTTGTGCTGGGAAGCTAACGTACAGCGGATTTACACATTCAGCAGATATAGAGCGACCTTAACATTTATTTGGAGTTGTATTTATGTCCACCCGATGAATGTAAGTCTGACGGAAGTTATTTAGCTTCATTTAGCTCTTTAGCTGCTATATGCTCCACCATGTTCACCAGCTTGTTGCTAACAATGTCTGTTTGGCATTTTCAGTGAAAAGTGTAAAAGTTGAGAGAGCAGTGAAAGTGAATCAACAGTAGGGTGAATCAGAGAACCAAAACAATGAGCTAAAAGGCGCTAAAACGCTATAAATTTTTTGTCACTACAAGCAACACCTTTGTTTACATCCATTATTAATATAAAAATATAGATTTTTGCTGCCTTAATATTGTCCTGTATTACAGCGTTTTGTGTATATGATCTGGATTTCTGCAGTCATGTCATTAATAAAATCTACAAATCACAGCTACAGCTTAAGTTCATGAGACTCGTGCAAAGTACAGCTATACCGAATTTGTGTGCCAGAGTTCAGGGACAGATGTAATAAAAAACTTTATCTCTCCACTATTGTCCAATAAGTGCTGTTCAGAGTGAGTGTTCCTGTAATGACTGATTAGCATTATCACCACACAGGACGGGGGAGGTGACGTGACATGTCAAGGTGTGGGCTTCTAACGGGCCCCATGTGAGGAGGGATCTTAGCGGGTCAGGTTGACTGGGGGCCCTTCTCATGTGACCTGGGTAGGAGGCTGACGAGAGCAGGCATGTGAGTATGGAGAGGAGGCTGTCTCACAGTAGTGATTGTTGCCAGGGCAGACACGCACACACACACGCACACATACATGCACACATACATACACGTGGCCCAGTGGCCTGCTGTACCTCTCTGGAGGCGGCTAGCTGCTGAGGAACAAAAGGCCCCCTTCAGCCGAGCACAGCTCTCTGTCAAAAACACACGGCCCAGAAGTGGATGAAAGGTAGATCCGCTCTGACCACTGCTGCAAGACTGCGCGGCGCTTTATCACAGAGTGCCAGTAATCAGTAACAGCAGGAGAACCACTGATATTAGTTTAGCTGAGTAGAAATAAATATTATTCAAAAACATTCTTTAGATAAGAGTTTTGGGTATTCTCCGTCTTCACCACCCTCCCCTTGCACATTCCCCTCTACAGATAAACCTGATATAATACCCTGAGCTGGTTATGTTTTATCTAATCTCTTATGCTCAATCATCTTCTCTATCAGCTATAATGTATAATGGAGGAACAGTGATAAGAAGGCTCTGAGAGAGGAAGCATGGATATCAGTTAAAGACTGAAATCATATCTATCTAGACTTATAGGATTTTAAAGTATATTACATTGTAAAAGATTCAGTGGTTCCTAACCTTTGGGTTGTGACCCCTCACAAAACAACTAGCAGTGTCCAGTTGGGGCTCCCTGTTTCAGATACCTATGACTTATTAGAAGTTCATCAAAAAGTAATTTCCCTTTCTTAAAGGAGAACCAATTTTACACATCAAAGCCTGTTTATAGGGCTTGAGGAGTACTATTGCATATGTGAAACAGGTTATGGCTCCAGAGGGAGCTGTCTGAAGTCTGATAAATGTCTTCAAGTGATATAACTCTCTTACCAGTCCTCTGTAGCTCGCTCATCATCTCTGCTTGAGGCTCAAGCTTCAAGCCGCTATGAGCATAACACACCTGAACCGCCCACTGAATTGGGCAGAGTACTCTTATTTTCTCAGATGGTTTTATTCAAATAACTGTTCAAGGCCCCAAAAGGTAAAAATATCCAATAAAGCAAAGATTGTAGATAAGTAAAAAGAAAACAAAATTAAAACAAATGTGTGTAGCAGAATCTTCTCTTTCCCATGAACCCTTAGATTTATGTTGGGACCCTTTGGAGGGGTCTGACCTCTAGGTTTGGAACCACTGGACTAAACTAGCTCCACCTCCATCAGCTACAGCAGTAATTCTGCTTACAGACTGACGCAGTATTATTAAACTAATAATCTGTGATGTATTTCTTAAGATTCTGCCAGTTTCAGGATATATCACCGTCAGTGTTTGGTTTTTGCATGACTGGGCCTTCATATAGGTTTACAGTGGCTTATTGTACATCAACTTTTAACTTTGCTTCCTTTTCTAGGCTTTCCTTTTCAGAATGAGCACATTGTTTTGATTTTTTCAGAACATTTTGCTGATAATAATTCTGTACTTTACCTTTACTTGTAATGGAGTTTTATTGCTGTGTTGGTACTTGCCTTACTCTTACTTTGTTCTGAGCCTTGTTTGCCCCTCAGATAAGACAGATAAGGGGATTTGGGTAACATATGGCAATCATAAGGACGTAGGAATGTTATCGTGATGGTTTATCGGTTATGAGAGTGCTGAGCATTGGAAGATTGATTGCACAAAACATCATATCTTATCAAAGAACTCAGAACTGTCACTGTAGTGGATCATCAGTCATTTTACAAAGATAGTAAATCATTTGACGGTATTCTCAGCTTGCTTATCACCCTCTCAGAGTAGGTTTGTTTGTTTGCAGTCGGATGCACTTAAACATAATTCCTCATGAGAAGAAGACATTTCCTTTGTGTTGCCGCACTGCCTGGCCCCTCAGCACTTGGGAGTCTTACGGTAATCAAAAAGAACATCTCTGCAGTTGTTTTCACTGCCTCCCCTGCTGATAGATGCCCTCACACTGGGAGACACCGGGCGGCTCCCCGCAGCCGGCGTGGCGTCAGAGGATAGGAGGGTGCCTCGATCTGCTCTGTGAGGCCTGACAGAACCACTTTTTATATCCGCGAAGTCTGTCATGTCTTGGGCCCCTTAGGCAACATATGCTTCTGTGACAGCATCATTATCTCTCATTAACTTCATTCTATAAGCGCTGGCTACACAAAAAGTAGCATCATTAGGATGGTGGAGGTTTAGAAATCATCCTATTCCCATGCAATAACACATTTATGTCACTGTATCTGTGTCTATGTAAATGATACAGACAGTTTTTGAGTGCAGAGAGCGGCGGTGCCCTCTGACCTTGGCAAATTTGTGTAATTATGTCAAAGCGAGAGCCGCAAGGGCAACCTGTTCTACATTCTTCACAGTACACGCTGCCCATTAGAGCATTCATTAAACACAGCTTAGCTCAGCGAGTGACCAGGAAATCTGATGGAATTAGTCTCAAGCTGCGTTTCCACCACCGCAGACACACCTGACGGACCAAGACGACTGTTTTCAGTCCCCCCTCAACCCCTGCTCAGCTTGTCATCTGGTTAGAGAGCGACCAGGGACCACTTCAGACCAAAATAGGTTTTATGTTCATGGGACTAATAGACGGCCGGATGGGGAAAGCAAAAGAGCAGCCGTGTTTCCACCTCTGACATAACTGAGGAAAAATCTGCTCATTGTTTAATACAGAGCTTCTCATTTTATCAACATGAACTGAACAATAAATGATCGTATTCAGCGTGTAGAATGAGCACACAGGATACAACACTAGCACAAGGAAACTTTAAATGAAAACAAAGAGACAACTTTTCAATAGAATTTCAATAATTCTTTATGTGAATCATCTGAATGTGCTGCACAATACAGCACACAAGCAGCCAGGCCAGGAATAATTTGTGCTTTTACTATGTTTTAGTATGAAGAATAACTTACAATCACAGCATTTTAAAAGCTAAGGTGTCCTGTTAAACAGACTTGAAATAGTATTTTTCTTCTTTGTTGGCACTGAGCGCGTCAGAATAAAACTGGATTTTAAGCCCCTTCACAAGACGGGGCCTCAAGATCAGGTAATAATCATTGACAGTAAGGTAATGTTACAGTGTCAGCTTTAGTTTTTTTGGCTTAATTAATGTGTACACTGTTAGCAAGTGAAGCACTTTGCAATTAATTAAACAACTACAAAATAATTGTCACAATAAGAACCAGGATCCTTCAGGCTGAGGGCAGTTTCTTGGTTTGGTAATAGACCATTTTTATGACACTCGTGAATCGATTGTTCCAGTGCATGCTGGGAGGGTTCTCAACACACCTTATTCATGTACATGCAATCCCATGATATGCACTGAACAATTCTTATGAATGATGATCTGGTTTCAACTCTCTACTCAGTTTGCCTTCATTTCAACATAACTTCATCTAAATTTGCTAAATGAGAATAAACAGGATGATTTTAACCCGATAACAGCTTCTTAGCGCGCACACACACACACACACCTTGGCCCTCTTACACACACTGCTCACGCTCTGTTCTCAGCTCCCTGAGATGGCATGCTGTTCAGCACACAGAGCAGAAGCATACATTACACCGGTCCACACCTTGTTCCCTTGCAGGTCGATACGTTGTACCAAAACATGCCATTTCCACCCCCCCGTAACAATGGATGAGAATAGGGCAGCGCGCCACAGGTTCTGCTCTGTTAACACTTAAAGACGGCGCAGCGGAGAGGATGCACTGTAAACCCAGCCTCTGCAAGCAACACAATGCAAACAGCCTCTTTCACAGAATGCATCACTCTCTGGCAATGGAGGTCTCAGCGGGTAAATAAGCTTACGTTTGCCTGTGTGGTACTTAACGGCGCCGAGCTGGTGCATTTACAAAG